AGGAGGAGTATGAGGAGTAGGAGTAGTAGTAGTAGGAGTAGTAGTAGTAGTAGTAGTCGTCGTCGTCGTCGTCGTCGTCGTCTTTCTGCTGGGTGGCGGTGGCGGTGGTGGTGGTGGTGGTGGTGGTGGTAGTGGTGGTGGTGGTGGTGGCAGTAGTTTCGTTGTGCTCGTCGTCGTCATGCAGACGAACGAGCTCGTAGCATTGGAGGATGGATGAGCTGCCGGCTCGTTTACCGATGCTGTTAGCATTGAACTCTCATCGGTGCCACAGCCGCATCTAGCCTAGTCTGCTCGCAGAGTCTTGTTTGGTAGTAGGAAGCTATGAAGATCATGCAAGCATTTCAAATCGCACTGAGGCAGAGCTTTCAAAAGCAAGAGGTGATTTATCAGCGTTCAGATTTTTCCAATTGTTTCTTCCTGGTGCAGAACTCGGCTGGACAGGGACTGCAGCAGCAGTCAAACTTTCATTTGATGACTGCACTGCGTGTGTATGAGGTTACCAGCGGCGTGTTTGCCCACATTGCAGTCAGGATCCCAGACCTTCACTCAAGCGACTCCGTCAATCGTCTTGAATCCAGGTTCCAGCCGAAGGAGGTGGGCGCGAGCAAAGCAGTATGACCAGCACCGTCGGCCAGTGGCTAGTGGCAGCCAGCCTGGAACTCAGAGTGATGAAGGAAGTATCGCCCTGGAGCTTTTCATTGTGCGCAGGTGCGGCCTCGAATGTTGTGATGTACCCTTACCAGCTGTTCTCACAGGCGCACGAAGTCATTGCATGTCCGCACGAGACAAACCGGCGGCTTCATTCGTAACCAGTGCACATGCCAGGGCTCCTACTTTGGGGAGTACGGTGTCTTGCACAATCAGCCGCGCGACACCTCTGCGCGCTGCGAGGCCCCACTGAGACCGCACATTGAATTTCCTATTTTCTGGGTGCTGCAAGGCCCGAGGCAGTTGCATCGTTGTGCCAAAGTCAGAGCTGGACAGGCCCGCCTTTAGAGCTCTTTCGTGTTGAAGGTTTGCTCCGCATGTCCATCTAAACTAAGAAATGCTCAAACAATGCCGGGTAAGGCACCTAGATGGGTTTGGGCTAAGCCTGGTTGTGTCTCCATGTCAGGGCCATGTGTGACTTCCCGGAGTTCTCCGCCTTCTGGGTGTCTACTGCCGACTCACGAGAGCGACAGCGCCTCGCTTGTCGCAACAGGCTGGGACATGGCGATATGATTGTTTAAGACTGTTGGAGAAGTTCAAAGCGTGGGTGTGCAGGCTGACCGCAGGAAGGAGCTACAAGCACTTGGCGGCCTTCATGATTCAGTGCTTCTTCCGGAGCTTGCGGAAGCCCTCGAAGGTCGCGCGAATGCGCGCCGTATCTTCCTCCGAAGAGGAACCACCCGCACCGCCGATAGTCGAGCTTTCAGGCGGCAACTCACATGCTACCGCATCTCTTTCTCACATCAGCGAGAGCTGCATTTTTCTCCCTAGCTGGGACAGACACGGCCATTCGCCGGGTCTCTGGCTTTCTGCAAAGGCGGACCCAAACCATGTGATCACGTCGCTTGTGGAGCCTCAGTTTACGACTGTGCTTTCCAAGCTCAATCAGCTCGCATGCCAGGTCAAACACAGATGCCCTTCCAGGCTCGGGCTTCCCTGCAATTCGCCGAAGCCACGTTCTTTCTTTTGTCTTCTTGGGATGCTTTGCTAGTGAAGGCGCAGTCTGTTCAGGTCCAACGTCCGAGTCCAAGCTTGAGATGGCGGAGCTGATGAGAGAAGTTCGCATGCTCCGGGCGGAGATCTCAGCTATGAGGCACGTCAAGGGCTGGGAGGGTTCTCGACGTGTTTTTCATTTCTGTACCGAGTGATTCGTGCCTGTCGTTCAAGATTGCAGCTGCGCCTATTCAGTGGCTGCACGCCTTTTGCTTGTGGTTGGGAGTGGTTGGATTGCATCCGCTTGTCGTCTTCGGAGGTTGGAGGCTTAGGACCGCAATGTCTTGAGCGGAAAGCCACATTCTTTAACGCTGCAGGCGTGGCGGTGATTTCTCGCCTCCTCGTGAAGCTTTCGCCGAGCCGCCGTTGATTGGGCAAGTGCCGACGCTCTGATGTTTGCTCAGTCTCGCGATGTCTCGCGCTGAGCTGCAACCGTCTCTGTGCCTGCGACATCTTTGTCTTATGACCGGCCGTGCGGGGACTGAGGCGCTGGAGGCTGGTCCTCCCTGCCCACTCGTTAGCCAACTGCATCCAGCAGTACAGTCTTCTCGTCACATCCTGGCTATTCTACGTGCAGTCATCAATTAGTAATGATCTGAATTGATCCGAATAAAATTGCTTCCGACGTCAACAACACAGCATCTTCAAAGAATGTGCGCTGACCTCCAAGAGGCAGTGCCATTGGCAAGAATATTTTGAAAGGTCTGGCCAAAAACTTAAGATTCCAGAATCTCCGCGTGAGCCGTTAGCAAGCCATAGCGCCGACAAGGCGTCAGATTTCTGCGGGGTTCTTCTCAATACCGCTACCTGCTTTGCGCAACATTCATCTGCTCTGAGTATATGCTTTCAGCATGAATGGTGCCTTCCGGGGGACATCCTCTGCTTTCAAGAAGAGCATGCGCAAGGCATTTTTATTCTGCATGTAGTTCTGGTTTCACGAGGCAGAAGTGCCAATGACCACGAGTCCGGTAACGTGATTTGAGCGTATCTTGGTTCCACGCCTCAAATGCTGCGAGACTTCTAGACTGGGCTCCACGAAGTTCTATACGACCATTCGCAGGACCGGCTTGCTAAGCAGGCATGGAGCAACACAGGAAAAAACAAGCATTGTGAGCTTTTGCGCTTCCGGGATCTTCTGATACACGAAGGGAGGCCCAAGCTTCTGAGGTCTATAACGACAAGGATGGGTCAGTGGAGCAGAAGCAGCTGAACTACGTGTTGCGGCCCCAGGGGTTTGGGCTTCCCCAGCAAAAGATGGCAGAAGTGCACCCAAGGCCTGGACTCTACAAGATCTTCGACGAGATCCTGGTGAATGCTGCAGACAACTACGTCCGGGACAACTCTCAAACATACATCAAGGTTTTGCAAATTGATCTGGCAATTTTCCAACTGTTGCTTGAAGAGTTGCTCATGCTCTATGGGAGAGCCCATACCTTGCAGGTGACCATCAATGAAAGAGACGGTTGCATCAGCATCGAGAACAACGGCCGCGGATTGCCAGTAGAGGCCGGGAAGGTTGGATGGCTGCAAGGTTTGGCAGGTGAAGCGCTCCCAGTAACCCAGGAACACAAGGAACACCAGATGTACGTCCCTGAGATGGCCTCATGCTCAGCATGTCATTCTACTGTAGTGAAGATGATTGGTCTTTTGGCTTGCATGCGGACTCAAGGGCTGTCGCCACAGGTAGTCTTGCGAGCCTGCAAGTGACTTGCTCAAAGTTTACAACAGGTATTCGGACACCTCCTCACAAGCGACAACTACGATGACAGCGAGAAGAAGGATGGGCCGCAGAGACTCCATGGTCCCCGGAATAAGCAGACAAGTCACAGTGCACAGACTCCAGTAGTTCATACTGGTGAGTCATGTGAATTGAGTAGGAGCAGCACAACTAGCAGCGGCGGTGGTACTAGTAGCAGCAGCAGCAGCAGTAGCAGTAGTAGTAATAGTAGTATTATTATTAAAACTATTATTATTAGTAGCAGCAGCAGCAGCAGCAGCAGCGATAGTAGCAGTAGTGTTGTAGTAGTAGTAGTAGTAGTAGCAGCAGTAGTAATGGTAGTAGGAGATACCACCACTACCACTGCCACTATCATTGCTACTACTACTATTACATACTATTACTACTACTACTTCTGCTGCTGCTGCTGCTGCTCCTACTACTACTACTACTACTACTACTACTACCACTACCACTACCACTACCACCACCACTACCGCACTACTAGTAGTAGTAGTAGTAGTAGTAGTACTACTACTACTACCACCACCACGACGACGACGACTACTACTACTACTGCTACTACTGCTACTACTGCTACTACTGCTCTTACTGCTGCTGCTGCTGCTACTGCTTCTGCTGCTGCTACTACTACGACTACTACTGCTGCTGCTGCTGCTACTACTACTACTACTACTACGACCACTAGCCGCAACAGTAGCAGCAGTACTAGCAGTAGTGGCAGGAGGAGGACGAGGAGGAGTGGGTGGAGAGGAAATCGCGCAGGAATGGGATCAGGAAGATCTGCAGCAGCAGGAGGAAGAAGAAGACAATATAGTGGACATCGCAGCAAATAGTAGCCGTCAGGATCAGAATAATCATGATGTCAAATTGTCATCGAAGCCGCAGCGATCATAGTCATGGTCAGTCAGAATCATGCACTGCAAGAGTACTACGACGAAGTGTTGCTGATTGCTCATTAGCAACATGAGCATTTAGCGGTTTGCAGTATTTCCAAGAAGCGTTAGCTTGGTAGTTATCATGCGAATGGGCACCAAACTAGTTTGGACTAGAGGGATGGACGAATCGTCAGATTTGCCAGGTCACTGGTGGCCGGAATGGTTATGGCGCAAAGCTCACCAACATTTTCTCAACAAAGCACTGGCCTCAGCACGCATTGGGAGACTGGGTGAAGGTTTCGAGTTTGGGGATCTTGTCAGAGGCGAGCCACGCAGGTACTAGCAGCCGCTTCAAGTTCGAACGGTTCTCCTGAGTCGCACACCTCATCAGGTTTGAGATCGAATGCGGGGATTCCGAGCGCAGAAAGAAGTACCAGCAGACATGGGAGGAGCGCGGGGTGCAGAAGAGTGATGAGTGCTGGATTCTGTCTTTCGCTTCCGTAGCGTTTTTCGTATCGTTTTGTGCAAGATCAGCTCGCAAGGAGAACATGCGCAAGAAGCAGAAGTCCAAGATCTCGGCGCACCTCGGCGAGAGCTTTACGAAGCCCGGGCCCCGGCTTCCTGAAGGTTCGAGTTGCAGAGTGATTTTTCCAATGCTCTCTTCAGAATTACGTTCTGGCCGGACCTCTCTCGCTTTGGTATGAAGAAATTGGACAAGGACAGGGCATCTGGGGCTTGGGGCAGTGACCACTGCAGCGGCATGTTTAAATCGCTCCCAGGACATAGTCGGGCTCATGTGTCGTCGCGTGGTCCGTGCCCGAGTGGCCCAGTGGCCGTGCTGTGAAGCTGGCCCAGATCACCTTTCACAAGGTCGATGTGGCTGGCACAACTCCAGCCAAATGCAAGGTGCATCTGAACGGCAAGAGGCCGATGCCTGAGAACATCTTGCAAGTCAGGTGAGCTCCACATTGGGTTCATACAACTGATTAACGAAGCAAAGGTATTCCCAAGATGGGCCCTGAAAACCGGGCCAGGGCTTCTCCGAGGGGATTTTGCAGCTCTCGGGAGAACACTGCAGCGTGTGTAGGCTTGTGAGCGAGAGCTAGGGGCTTCTTGAATTATCCCCAGCAAGTTTTGAGAAATGTGGAGCCTGTCGGCCCGTCGGCCCTTGAGAATGCACCAGGCTGGAAATCAACAGCTTCAAGGACTACATCTCGCTGTACACTGGCACCGAAGATGTCCAGATCGCCAGAGCCTCGAAAACTGGAGCACCTCCCCGGGAGGGTGGGAAACTTGTGTGCTCGTCCTCAATGCTTTTTGATCGCCAGGTCCACGAGAAGTGCCACGAGCGCTGGGAGGCTGTGGGCTGCAGAATGCTGAAATGCCTTTGCCTCGTCCTGTGGAGCACCTCCCTGCAGGTTGCCATGACAGTTTCAGATGGCCAGTTTCAACAGGCCTGCTTTCTTGAAGAGTCCTTCTTACATTGCACCTTAATGGTCTTTGTACTGCTCCTCGACCTTGCACAAGAGGTGTCTTTCGTGAACAACATCGCAACGACGAAAGGTGGAACCCATGCGCCGCCCCAAGATCTGAACTGCTGGGGATCTTACTGGGCCGTCACATACCATCCATCATAGTATTTCGTAGAGCTCTGCAGGTTGTCCACGTCGCGGATCAACTCGTCGAGGCTGCAGAGATCAGACTCGCTGCCGGCACCGGTAGGTCTACGATCTTCTCGTTCTTCCCTCGCCCAAGCTGTTGCTGACAGCTGTCACAGCCTAATGTCCGGGGGCAAACGACGTGTTGCAACCGGGAATGAATAGCTATGAGATGCTATGAGTGAGTGTCTCTCTACGCATTCGTGTGAAGCCTAGCTACGGCCATCAGTGGCCAGGCCATCACCCAGAAGGTCAACAAGCAAAACAAGGGTGGGATGGCGTGGAACACAGTGTTTTTAACGGTGCGGTTTCCTGTTGTTTGACATCAGCATTGATTCGCTGCCGGATTCACATCGGTTTTTGCTGGAAGTGCCCTTCTGAGGAAGTGAAGCCGTGCGCTTTGCAGAGCCGGTGGCGATTGCATGCTGTGCTGCAAATGGGTGCTGAAGGGGCTCTTGTTGCGCGACGTTCAGGTACCATGTGCGGAACTATTTGTGGGTGTTCGTGAATGCGCAGATCGAAAACCCATCTTTCGACTCACAGACAAAGGAAACCATGACTCTCAAGCAGTCAAAGTTCGGGTGCGCGGATCTGGCTGTGCTGTGTCATGACTTGATTCGACGAGTAGGATCACGGCAGGTCGGCCTGTGCGATTCCTGACAAGATGATCAACAGCGTATTGAAGACTGGCATCGTGACTTGTCGTACTTGCTGAGATAGACAGGGCGTGTAATTGAGCAGTTGCTAGTTGCTTCTCGCTTCTTCTTGTGGGGTGTCTGATTTCCGTGAGTGTCCACGTTTATCTGCAAAGTCAACCGCCTGTGCAGTGCGAAAGTCATGGTCTGGCTCCTGTTCCGGGATTAAATTTGGGGATTGCTTTCGCGGTCCGCTGACACGATCCACTATAATAACGCCAAGCTGCAAGCTTCTTCGTCAAGATTCTTGCGTCAAAGCCTGCAGCATCGTCCGAAATAACCACGACAGTTATAGGCGAATCTTGGACAGCAGAGCACCTTGAACGAAGAGCGCACAGACCTTGCAAAAACAAGCTTTATACTTCTGTCGCCACAGCCCCGAGGAAAAAGTTAAGATTCGCCAGAGAAACGAAGCGTCATCCGATGCTACGCATTCAGACATTTGTCGAGACTGCAGGTTGATATGGTGCTTCAATGGGCGAAGGCCAAAGAGGAAATTGATCTGGGAAAGACTCTTAAAGGCCTGGCTGCCGTTGGCAAAATCCGCACTCGCAGCAGAGAGCTTTTGGACCAGGCTGCTCCAGCGCACCGAACAAAAAAACCAAGCGCTTGCTCAACATCCCGAAGCTTGAGGAGACAGAGAAAAAGCTTCCTTCTTTAAAGCAAAGTAAATACCGCGCTTCCCGGATTTTCGTTTTCTTTAGGATGCCAACCTGGCCGGCAGCAAGGACGGTGGTGGGCTCTGCTGTGTAGCATGCAGCTAGTACGGCAGGCGTGGGCTTGGCTTTTTGAGGTCGTGAGTGCACCCTCATTCTCACGGAGGTTCTGCGCAGTCATGGACTCACTGTATCTTACCCCGCTTAGTACTCGGATGCAGGGAGACAGTGCCAAGTCCTTGGCAGTAGCGGGCTTGGGTGTGCGGGGCTCAGGCGGATCTCTAAGAGACCGCAACATGTCGTCAGTAGCAGGCGGCTAAGCCCAGCAGCTGCTCAGGTAATTGGTCGGGACCGATACGGCGTGTTCCCACTTCGAGGGAAAATTCTGAATGTTCTTGTCCCAGTTATTGCCGTGTGTGCAGTACTGCCGGGATTTTGCCGTAGAGGTGATTGGAATGTCTTGCATCAAAGAAGAGTTTCCTGGTGACCACCAAGGTCCGGGACGCGAACTTTGCACAAACAATGAGAGACTCATCTGCAAAAGTAGCAGATACAAACTCGAAGCTCACCCCATGTGCTGGTGTTGCAGAAGCCAAGGTAACGCAGAGATCGCTAACATCACGAAGATCATTGGCTTGGAGTGCGCACTGCATGTTGGTGGCTTCAGTGCACAAACTCCCAATCCTGTCAAGAGCAGGCCGCGGAAAGAGTATCATTCCACGAACGGCTTGCGCTACGGCTCCATCATGGCCGTCATCTCAGCGGGAGCTGGTTTCCTGAAGCGGAATCACGGCGCTGCGTCAGGTCATGACAGATCAGGACTACGACGGATCGCACATTAAAGGACTCATCCTGAACTTCGTGCAGCATTGGAGCTTGCCTCAAAGACAGTTCAAAAAGACGGCAACCTCTGCCCGGTCCGCGTGTGGTACATTTGTGTTGTCCAGGTGGCCCTCATTGTTTAAGCTCCCCGGGTTCATGACGGAATTTGTCACACCGATTGTCGGGGCCTCTGTGCTTGTTCAGCCAGGGCCCCTCACCTTCGGATTGCAAACCTCGTCTGACAGAGCAGGTGAAGGTGAGCCGTCGAAGCTTCACGCAGCAGTTCTTCACCATGCAGGCTATTTGATGTTGCACCCTGGCTTGCGGGAAGAGGCGGTAAGGTATAGTGAGATTTAGAAGCACTCCAGTCCACAACAGAGGTCAGTGAAACTCAGCTGCTTTGTGTTCCAGTATCTTTCACTCTCCTTGAGCTTTGACTATTTCGGTGCGCTGGTTTTCCAGTCTATGCAGCGGACGGTTTCACTTGTCAAGACAGACCACGAAAAGGCTAGTCGGCAACCCGAACACCATTGAATTTTTCCAACCCTGGAGCCGAGCAGAACTGGAGCATATGCGACATAGCCACCCAACAGAAGCCTGACAGAAAGACTCGTACTTTCTGCCTTCGGTGCTTTCCACCGCGATGTGAGCATGACAGCCCTGATCGTGACAGGAGTACGAGAAGTGGAAGGAAGAAAACAACAATGGACGTGGTTGGCACTTGAAGTACTACAAAGGCCGTGCTCGGTGAGCATTTCCCGAGAAGTGTTCAGCCGCGCTGGTCTAGGTCTCGGAACTTCGACGATGGCTGAAGCCAAAGAATATTTCAGCAACATCAACGTCAGCTCCTCAAACTGCTGCGCCTGCGAGACATTGCCATCCTACTGTAGAGCAGCAGGATCACAGCCTGTCTTTTGAGTACACGGGGCAAATTGATGATGAAGCGTTCGACATGGCATTCAACAAGAAAAGGGCTGATGACCGCAAGGACCCTGCAACCGAGCGACAACATCTGCAGCTTGAAAGTGAGCTTTGCAGAGGAGTGGATCAACGAGGCCGATGATGAGGAGTTCGTGGACCATTCGAAGGAACGGACAAAGCTCGTATGAACCTGAAGTGGCTTCAGAAGCCTACAAACCCCTGCAAGGAGGCGGTCACATACCTGGACTTCATCAACAAGGAGCTGGTGCAATTCGCGAAGTACGATGTGCCCTGGCAGGAACGTCCTCACCTCTTGTGCCCCCGGCCCCACCCCCCACCTCCTACTAGTTTAGCCTAGTTCAGCATCACCCCAGACAGTCCCGGAAAGGGGGCAACAGCGAGCGACCCGGTAGTCAGCGCAACCAATCCAAATCGTGTTCATGCCCAAGCGATCTCGTGTTGCCACAATCCTCGTGTGTTGTGCTACGGGGTCGCGTTGTCCTCGGATTCTTCTAGGGCTTGGGGCCTTTCATCGCCCCAAGCTTTGCAGAGATGCATTGGTTTTGGCTGGGCTTTGGGGCATCTCCTCGAGAGAGTTTCCCGGCTCCTTGAGCTCTCCTCCGTGACGAACAGAGCAAAAGTAGAGCAAAAAGAAGGTTCTCATCACTGGCGAGTGACCTCTACCGGTAGCTTGCAGCCTGCATGTCATCAATCGCTGCAAGCAGGCAGAGTTTGTAAGATTTCCTAGAAAGTAGTAATTTGAAGCGCTGGTCAATTAATCAAGTTCCTGGCATTCCAGGTTCTGCGAGCAATCCCATCGGTGGTCGATGGCTTCAAGCCGGTGCAGCGCAAGATCATGTGGGCATCCTTCAAGCGGAACCTTAAGAACGACGCGGGCTTAGGGAAATTGCCAGCTGCTGCGCTGCTTTAACCCTGTGGTTGGCCAAGGACACCAAAGTGGCGCAGCTGGCAGGCCCTCGCGGGGAAAGAGAAGATCTTTGCAGTCACTGCAAGCAATTTATGGTTCTTTGCGCAGCTATGTGGCACGGATACCTCCCAGCGGATATGCGGCAGCAGGCTATGTCTCGGAACATGCCGCCTACCATCATGGCGAGTCTTCCTTGCAAGGTGCCTTCAAGTGCTTGCAGTGCCGGAATGAGGATGGTTGCGGAGTGCCCATGTTCCAGGTGCCATCGTGGGACTGGCACAGACATTCGTGCGGATCTCGGTTACAGAGTCTCCTGGGCTCAGGCAGCATTCTATCAGGAAGTTAAGCCGCAGCTTTCAAACCGAGCTTGCAGGTGGAAGATCTTTATTTCGATAGCATACACAACAGTTGAATTACAGGACATCCAAGTCATCGCCACAGCCATGCCCCGACATGGCATGCAGATGCTGGAAGACCCCGGTCGCACTTGTCGAAGCCGCAGCACAGGTCGGACCCATCCCCTTCCGAGATAGGATCACTGGGCTGACAAACAACATCACGGAGAAGCTCAATGCGAGCAAGAGATTTGTTCAAGGTGCGTAGTTGCAAGTGCAGATGTCGAGCCAACCCTCTGAGGCCTCTGCAAGGGCCTTGAGGTCTTCGGATCCTTACAGAAACGCTGGCTGCGCGCCGTGTCGAATGACTCGCCCGAAGACCTCTTGTGCTTCGTCACGGCGAATCGGTAGCGGCCCTTCCACGCCCGTCATCCGGAGCCCTCGTGGTCCTAAACCCTGGCTTTGGTGCTTTCCTTTGTTTGCTTCCGCCTCGCTTCGTTTCTAAACGCTCTTTTGGAGACTCTTGGGCAGATGCCCCAGACAAATCTTCAGAGCCGAAGCCTTGAACCACCCGCTGCGAGGCCGCTCTGGCCCCCTGCAAAGCTCCCCATAGACTCACTGCAAGGTCTCGGTACCCCCGTGCTTAACCGGAGCAAGGAACCCAGAGCTGCTGAGGTCGGAGCGAACAACGTCAATTTGCTTGTGCCGTCGGGTCAGTTCGGAACCCGCATTCAGGGCGGCCGCGCGCTCAAGAGACTCGCGGAAAGCCTCCGGCAGAGCTTTCCTTGCCATGCTCGCATGCTCACATCTTCCCACTTCGGCAGGTAAGGATGCCGCCAGTGCCCGTTATATTTACACACGCCTCGAGAAGTCTCAAACTTAGTTCATCTGAGTTCTGTCAAGCGAGTTTCAGCTGTGGTCGCCCCTCGCTCTCCAGGATCACGCGCTTGATCTTCCATCCCTCTGACGACGCCTTGCTCGACTTCCAGGTTTCCGTGTGGTTCCCAGGTTTGGACAGGGCTTGTCCCCCCCGTTGCGGAGGTCGAGGAGGGTCAGCGGATCGAGCCGAAGTGGTGCTCACGCCACTCCCGAGCTTTTAGCATGTTGCTTTGAAGCTGATCTTGGTTGATTTTAGAGGTACATTCCTGCGCTTCCGCTGGTACTTGTGAACGGCGCCGAAGGCTCCTCCTCTTTTTGAACTGCATTAGGTCCTTTATCGAAGCCTGCTGGCTTCCGCGGCAGGAATTGGAACTGGCTGGTCAACCTTCCTTCCGAACTTCCATCCTCGGGACATCATTGCGAACCTGAAGAGGCCGGTTCTGCTTCCGAGACCTACCGAGTTCTATATCCAGTGATTGACAGACAGCAGGTATCTGCGATGCCAGCCGGTGCAGGAGTTGTGAAGTTCGGATGCGGATCTTCCAGAGTGGCCTTGCCCTGCTCCATGTCTACATGCTTGAATTTCATGAAACCTGAAGCAGGACATGTGCCCCTGGTATGCAGGCTTCAAGGGAAGTATCGTCCTGCCAGGGCCGGAGCGTTCTGGGATCGTCTTGAATGCACTTTCGCGACATCTCAGGTCGCCGGACAAGGTTGGCTATGAGTCCGTGGGAGTTATCGAGAAGTTGCCGCCTCGGAGTCACTCGTGATCAGAAGTCTGCAAAGTCTCAACTTCTTCTGTTCCTGTCGCACAAGGAGAGGTCCGACCACGCTGGAGATCACCGAGCTCCCGATCAAGAAGTGGACACAGGCACGCCAAACTTTCCGGAAGGTTCACTTGGCCGCAATTCTGTCGCGCTTCGCAGGACTACAAGGAGGCTGTACTGCAGGCTTTTGATACTCGTACGGCATCGTGCAAGCTTCCTCACTTTACCGCACGCTTGCGCAGCCCATGCTGTCGACCGACGGACCTGGTACTGGCCAGATTGAAGACTTCAAGGAGACAACGTGCTCGTCGGACATCTTGAACTCGTCCAAACTGCTCGGACGAAGCAACTCGCGCTGCAGGAGTGCCACACGGAGGAGCTTCCGGCACGTTGGATTTGGGTTGAAGCGCATTGCGCGCATGTTGTCTTTTCGAGCAGATGTGCAGGTTACCGTGCATTTCATCATCACAGTTACAGAGGACGCCGCAACGACAGTTGAGCTCAGTGTTCGCTACTTCATTGCCGAACGAGGAGCAGATGAAAGCACATGAGTACATAGGACGCCAGTGGGCTTGTGGGTGCTCTTCGGGGATGCAGCCGATTCAGCACACGTCTACACTGTGGACGGGGATTTGTCTCCGGCAGCCAGAAGCCTTTCTGGCCCATGCTATTGCCAACATGAGTTTAGATGATCGATCATCGGAAGCTCTGCAGTGCCAGTGCAGGTGCACAGTTTTTTTCTAAAAACGGTTTCTGATTGGCTGCGGCAGTGTCGGCGGTCAGAGCAGTAATGAGAGCTGCTCACCGGTACGCGTGAATGTGTACTGCCTCGACCTCGCTATGTGATACTTCGCAGCGCCCGCTTGTGATATCCCGCAGGACTGGAGAAGTCTTTCAAGCTTCGAAGCTCGCTGTCGACAAACAACATGCTCCTGGCTCAGAGTTAACGTGCCAAGCATATTTCAAGAGGGCACCGGAGAAAAGATCAGATCTTAAGTTTACACGCCAATCTTCCGTTCAGAACACGGCAAGCTAGATGTAACCTGAAGCAGCAAGGGCTCCCTTCCCTTCGTCTCTGGTCCTTGGGAGTGCGTGTTGCCTCTGGCGCTACTCGGCTCCCTGCGACCGCGATGCTGAGGATTTTCTTCGACAAGGAAGGAAAAATCAAGCTGCAAGCTCAACCTCGCTTATCCTGGCATTGCTTTGCTGACTTCTGTTCGATTGTGAGGCGATACAGCGACGAGCGGCATATCATCGAGGAGTTTGCAGAACTCAGACTGGAGCTGGATGCCCAGCTGGAAGTGGGAGCATACTCACTTCCGCCGGTGTGGCGTGGTGCAGTTTTTGGCTTGCGGCATTAGAGTTTTCCGGTCTGCTTTGCTCGCATTGTTTCGCACAGGTACTACCACAAGCGCAAGGCTCACCTGGTAAGGGTCCTGCGGCTGACGCCTCAGAGCTGCTCACATGCAGCAAAGACTCCTCGGAGCTGCATTGGTGTCCCCCGCCGAGGATCGAAGCAGAGATTCTCGCTGCAAAAGCTCGCTTCATCCAGGAGGCAGCGGAACGTAATCAAACACCACAGGAGTCGGGTAAGCTTTTGCATAAGCAGCCACGATTGTTTTGAGCTATAACCAGTGGTGTTGAGGTCATTGATGAGAAGCTAAAGGTGAAGAACAGGAAGAAAGATGTCCTGATCGAGGACACCCTACGGTTGCCACGCTCTGACACGTGCTCTTGGTAGTCCCACTCCATGCAAGGACTTGCGCAAACATGGCTTCAAGACTCTCCGTGAGATCACCGAAGGCACGGCATGGTTATACCTATCAGCAAGAGATATCCCCTCTGTTGTGTGGCAGGCGAAGACGTCGTATCGGATGGATCCCAAGGAAAGGCTTGGGAGTACTTGTTGGGAATGCCGATTTGGTTGCGCTCCCAGCATATGGGTAGTTCTCTATAGTGGGCTCCCTTTCTAGGTCCCCAATATAGTACGGAGATAGCACTCGCTACCAGCAGTGAGTTTCATCTTTGGATCCGCATACCGCGGGCAACTCAGGTCCCTGACCGCTGAAAGAGTGGCCAACCTCCTTGCGCAGCTCAAGGACAAGCAGGTGTGGATTTGGGCAGGGGTCATTGGGCAAGTATGATAAGAGAGGCGTGGAATCAAAGTATGTCCTCAAAAGCTTTGCGAGAGCGTTAAAGGAGCAAAGAACAAACGCAGGCAGAGCTCCACAAGCTCGAGTGCACCGCACCTGAGGCAGGCCCCCTTGGCTCCCTTTCGGACCCCTCCCAAGTTCCGTTGGATTCGAGCGGCCACGAGGAGCTTTGGGAGAGTGACCTCAACGAGATCCTCACCGAGCCCTGACCTCTGACCTTGAAGCGCCCAGCCTGCTGCTTCCTTTAAACTCGCCTAAGCCCCCAAAGCTCCAAGGCTTGCAGCTCTGGAAGCCAGGAGCCGCGCGGCTCTGGCCGAGGCAGGGCAGGAATGCCATGAAGAGCATTAGTACTATAGTAGTCTTATTGTTAATATATTATTAGTATTAGTATGAATAGAGCAATCAGGTATAAGACATTAGCACAAGGCATTAGCACCGCCAGCATAAGCAGGATCCACAGAGCAGCAACGGGAACGTTGCCATGGTCGTCGAAATCTCCGCTGGGAGACGTGGTAGCAGTACCAGTCGTGGCAGTAGAAGTAGCAGGAGCAGGAGGAGGAAGTGAAGTAGTAGTAAGAAAGAGGTAAGAACAGCAGCAGCAGCAGCAGCAGCAGGTATAGTCACTGGAAAGAATCATCAGCGCCCTCCTCATCAACATAAATATGACTTTGTACGAAGCTTTGCGGGTGGGGTTTACATCACCGCCAGTGAGCCAGTGGCAGTGGCGAGCTGCCTTTGATGTGCTGGACTTGTTCAGAAGATGTTTCCAAGCTGCTGGAGAGTAGTGAAACGTGGTGGGATTCGATGCTTTAGGAACCCCTTCTTCTATGCCTTCCATCCCTTGCGTGCCGAAGGAAAAAGCAGCACAGAAGCGGGCCGCCCTCAGCACTGCGCAACCTGCTCAGACATGGATTCAGAGTTGGCAAGAGAGCCACATCTAGCACACATACTCGACGGGCAGGGACACACCGATATGTGATAGACCGGTTCCAGGCATTTTGCGAATGTCGCCAGCTACATTGATGTGGCGGGACAGTTGTGAGCGACACAAGCTGAGGCATTCGTCCAAGAAAGCAAAGACTGCCGTCAGGCGACGGGTCCGTCTGCCCGCACTTGCACCGTATCCATGGGCCACCGGCCCACACTCCGCGTGGCTCCGCATAGCATTGGAGTGCCGTCCCAGTTCGACGCCTTTGCCAACGCCGGCGCTGGGACCTGGACAGTTGTCCACGGCAGCTCTGGGCGAGATGCAGGCCATAACTACAATATTACCAATACTGATAAATACTGATAACAATAATGAGAGTGATGGTAACAATCGTAATATAATAGTAATCGTTATAGTCAATGCCGTGTCCACAGCGGCAACCCTAGCATCAGCATAAGCCAGCTTTCTCGCCGCAGGAACGTCAGCTGAAGCTGACACTCACAGAGCTCCCCGGCCTCTTCAACGACATGGTGCCAGAAGTACCGGCATGGATTTCTATCATGTTGCTGTGGAGTGATCCTTCCCTGTATCCCCTGGTTCTCGGTTCCAATCCCCTTCATCCCGTCTCTCTCCTGCCTCCCTCCCTCTCTCCCTCTCCCTCTCTCTGCCTCGCAGAGCATGCCAGAAAAAGCCGCCTCCTCCGCCTGGCCTCGAGAAGCTCACCAAGAGCGCCGCAGCCGCTGCAGGCACGCCTTCACAAGGGTTTAGGGTTTAGGACCAGCTCAGGGTTGAGTGATTTGCAGCGGATCGGTTTGGAAGCTGGCAAAACCTGGGCAGAGAGGTTTCCCCCGGCTCAAAGATCGCCACAAGCCGCCCTAAACCCGGTATTTGCCCAGGCAAAGGCGACGACGAGGAAGGAAAAGGGGAGCCCAAGGAAGGTGAAGAGGCCGTGAAGCCGAGGCTGGCCGCCTTCATGCAAATGCACGTGTGTACTGAGAGGGAGAGAGAGAGAGAGCTGGAGATCTTTGCCCATAACCCTGCCGAAAGAAAGCTGGAGATCATTATCCGATCCAGGTGTTTCTTTTTCTTGTGATTATAGGATGAAAAACTCACCGGCCAAAAACACAATACGACTTAAACCTGCTTGCTCAGACACTGTTTGCATTGCTGTCGATACAAGACTCGATTTTCACGCAATTATGGTCTCATGGAGAACCCTCCCAGGATCCAGATCACAGAGTTGTCACGTGGATGCAGGTGTAAGTCCGTGATAGTCCGTGTATGCGTGTTGGTGTGCCTGTATGTATGTGTGCGCACGTGTATGTAGCTGTATCTCTCCGTCCATCCGTCAGACGGTCGGTCGGTCCGTCGGTACGTCTGTCTGTCTGCCTGCCTGCATGCATGTATGTGTGCATACGTGTACAATATACATGCATGCATTGTTGAAAAAGCGCCGCATCTGCTCGACACACAGGGCCAAAGCTAAAGCCTTCTTCGAGAAGAAGGCTGTTCTGTGGCGGTGGAAGGACGGTCATGGAGTGTCTGCTTCGCTTCCTCCTGCAGGCCAGAGGCACGGCACCGACGGCGAAAGGCAAGCCGTTTCCTCGGGCTTGGCATAGAACATGGCATGTGATGGAGTTCGCAGTGCTATAATGGCAGTTGTTGAAGCCCCGTACCTAGGGCAGCGAAGGGCGCCAGGGGCAAAGGACGTGGTGCCGGAGGTCGTGCTGCGAAGGCGAAGGCTGTGAAGGGCGTGCGGGGCAGAGGAAGGAAGTGAAGCCGAGTCATCAAAGCGGCTGGGTCGTGAAACCGCAACAGTGCGGAAGTAACTGATTTGTACTTTAACGTGACCTGGGGTCGCATCGAACGATGCCCTCAAAGCTGCTCGGTGCTCGAGCACCCGTTCCTCGAGGGTCACTGTCGAAATACACGGCTCTGCAATACAAAGTACGTGTCAGCAATGCAGCCGGTATTTCGACCGCCAGTGTTGCAGATTTCGGGAAGAGTCTGAGACAGACTGGTGGATGCCGCGCGCTGCGCGCTGGGGGTTGAGCGCTGCCGCTGCAAAAGCTGGCCTGTGTATGCAATGAGTTACTTCCTACAGGTGCCCTTCGAGTTGACGATTGAAGCTTTCCTTCACCCAACGCAATCCTTCTGGCCCCAGGGATTCCGACGGGTAGAAAACCATGAAATGCCGTCAGCACACACACCGACGCGTTTCTGTTGTCTTTCGTCTTTTGTCTACTCCTTTTGCAACCTGAACTTGAATCAGGCATCGATGCTTTGCAGCATAGATCTGCACTCCACAGACCACGCTGAAACGAGGAAAAGGCCCGAGAGGAGCGCTTCATTAGGCGCATTGGCTTGCAGCCCAGTACCGACTTTCTTTTGAATCTCCTTGACGCCATGGCAGAAGAGCCTACCATGCATGATTGCAGTATGATTGCACAACTGGCGGGAGTCAAGCCTGTATTGATTTGCTCCTGTTCTCCGTGGCCAGTTCGCTCGCAATTTTGCCCCGGAGCATGGGCCAACAGGCCTTGCAGAAAAAGAAGGCCAGGTTGGGCACAGACGCGTGACTCGTTTTGCTCGTAATTAGTAGATCGACCTAGGCAGCTCCGAAGCGATTCATTCCCTCGCAGAAAGGCGAGGGTGAACTCTTGGTTTGTGATGTGTCTGGACCATGTCAGTCCCACCAGCATGCCAAGTTGCCAGGGGCTCTAATCACAGAGAACCCCAATGAAGAGGCGTCGCCAAGTTTCGGTCTTCTGTGTTTCGCGTTGACGGTTTGTGCAGGAATGCCCCTACACCTTCTCGGACAGTCCCGCCTTTTTGCGACAGAAGAAGGCTCAGTTTGCTTCGCCTTGGAAATCCATTCGACTGCTTTTCGAGCCTCCAGCTGCGAGGCGGAGGAGGATGCCAAGCGCGCCGCCGAGCTGGAGGGCAAGGTGGGTAGCACCAAAGCCCATCCGCAGATCAGAGCCTTTCATCTCCTGATTTGGGAGTTCAGGAAGAGACCAGGGGCTTCCTGCGCAGTGTCGAAGAGCTGGCGAGAAAGCAGAAGTCTGGAGCCTTAAAAACGAGAAGACTGGAGAGTAGTTGAGTAGTTGGGGCGATCCATTGGGGCACCCTGGCCTCAGGTGGGACGAAGCTTTTCAAGTCTTAGAAAAGCGGACCGCGGTACCCAGCGGTGCGCCTTTGGGATTGCGCCTATTGCCACCCCAAAAAGCAATGGGTGTCCGTGAGCCCTGACAGAACCACGGCAGCAGAGAATCCAAGTTGTTGCCGGATCAAGCGCAGGCTTGTTCCTTGTTACGCGAGCTCTACTGCGGTGGAAGCCGGGGACTCAATCTTGGACGCGAGGTTGTTTCTTGCGATGATGGCTTCTTGCAAGCCACGTGTGCAGATTGAGCGATCTTTGTGTAGAAGGTTTTGCCAGTACGGCTCCGCCCTGAAAGATGCCGAAGAGGCGGTTGCAAAGTCTCGCGAGAAGCAGCAGATTGCTGTTGGTGGCCTGAAGCATCTGGCTGATGTAGGCGTTGAAAAACTACGGCAGCTCCACCAAGGCAAGCTACTCAGCTGCGGGTTTCAAGGAATCCTGCCACATACCTGTGCTGTCCTCCGCCTGTGTGGTTCCAACCCACTTCCCGGGCCCCTGGTGTGGCTCTGAGAAGCACGAACATGAAGAAGATAGTAGACATCATGAAATCCATTGAAGCCATCAACTCCCGCAGAGTCTCGTAGACTTCACGCTCTCTTCTGTGAGAGGCCGGCCCTCTTGCAGCGGCCTTTGCGTCTTTCGCACGCCTCTGCTTGGGATCGGAAGTCCGAGACAAGGCACGTTGCCGAGTGCAAGGAATATTATATATATATATATTCTAACGTATATTATACATATACTGTATGACATTACTATATTATATGGCATGATATTTTTTCGTAGGGGATCGGAGCTGCTGGTTTTTGCAGGGCTCCTGTTCCAAAGAGATGCGCCCTCTGCTGGACTGTTGGGAGAAGGTCCGCTGCTCAGCCAAGCGCGGCTGCAAAAACCGCACTCTAAGCCGTAAGCCCGAAGCTCCAAAGGCATGATCATTTTTGGACTGTCCCGTTTGGGAGGCCGAGGAGGCAGCTCTTCAAAAGCACGCACTGGGCATCTCAGCTCCGACTCGATGCCTTCTTGGGATCGGTGAGGGCTGTATGTAGTCCGTTCCTACAAGGGTTCTTATACGGGATACTATAAAGGGTTCTTGGGGGTTTTGTGGCTTGGGGTTTTGGGATGTGGATAGGGGGACTTGCTGGCTTTAGGACTCCAGAGGGTTTTGGGGCGCTCTAGGATTTAGGGTCTCAGGTTTCCAGGTTTCGGCTTAGGGTTCAGAGTGGAGTAGGAGATAGGTTTGAACGGATAGCTCCACGAAGCTCCAGATGAGGCCAGGGTCTCTTCAAGCCGCGGCAGCAGCAAAGACTGCCGGATCCCCGCATGCCCTCTGCAGCTCCGATCCCTCCCTTTTTTTTGTTGCCTCCTTGTGTACCCAGGCAGGATGTCGGCTGTCCAGTGGAAGGCGTGGAGGCTGGCCATGGAGAGCCGCTCAAAAGGGCGAGAGTCGACCACGGAGTGGAGGCCGCCGATGGGACCTACCCCGTTGGAGGCGGTGTTCGTCTCGGGCGAGCTCCCCAGTCATTCGCGAACTCTGCTACAGAAAGTGTCCTTTTCTGCCGTTATCTAGACCCTGGCCCTAACCCCTTGAACCCGAACCCCTCAACCGTAAACCCTATACGCATTTGAACCTAGGTACATCTTGCTGAAGAACCAGAAAGATGTCACCGCGCCTGTGGTCGTCCACTTCCACGGCAGCGGCCAGAAACTTGAGTACAATCGTGGCCGAAGCCAGGGAATGATTATCACTGCTTCTAGATACAAAAATATGAGCATGCATGTCCTCTCCACTGTCAAGCAAGGCGAGACTGCAGCCGATTACCTGCAGCCACAACTAGCGGAGAAGTACCGGGACTCGCGGGGCGATGGGAGCAGAGCTGTTTTCAATGACTTGATCCATGACACCAGACAGTTTTTAGGATCTCCCAGTGCACCTCTTGGTTGCGGACTACCGTGGCTACGGCGGGGAGAAGTGACTCTGCAAATGCTGCAAGACACCGACACCAGCACGAGTAACGAGTAGGCTGGTCTTCCGGCGAGCCTTCGCTTGCAACCTTCCTCAAAGATGCACGGAGCTTGCGAGAGCGGCAGGAGTCTCCCATTTCACCTGAGCACTTCTGCTAAGGCAGAACCTTTGGCTGAACAGCTGATCGGAACTCAGATGCCCCTAAACCCTTAGCCCCAAGCCCTGGCTGATCGGAACTCAGATGCCATGGTCTCCAGGGCTGAGACTCAAAAAAAAAAGCGGGGAGCGTTGACATGGCCATAGATCTCACAGTCCAGGCCGGAGCTTTTCGTGCAGCACGGCCTCTCCTGGCCCTATCCGGGCGTGGTCCCCAGCGAACGGATGTAGATTCTGTTACAAAACTTCATATTATGTTAGATAATCGATTTTACAGCCCTCTCTCTCTCTCTCTGTGTCTGTGTCCCTTATTTTCAGGTGGCATCATCCTTTCCGGAAGGTCGCTGGGCGCGCAGGCCAACTGAAAATCAAGTCAGCTTCGGCGGCTTGTCGAGTGTGCAGCCCATGCAGGTCGCGGTCCACCTTGCTGCAATGTTTCCCACTCTCTTCAGGTCCGCGGCACAATGAATAGGTATGATCATGTGGGAGTTGACCGATATGTACCGGTACCTTGCCGTGCGTGGTGCAACCTGCTGTTGAGTACGTACGCCTTCAGGTCGATGATCTTGGCCGATGCCTCAGAGCAGGAGCAGAGAGGAATGGCGAGACTGTGGTAGAGCAAGCTGAGGTGTGGCTCGATGCTATTTGGGGGTTCTGAGAATAGGGGACCCCAATATATAGTACCCTAAATAGTAGGACCCCTACTATGAGGACCCCAAATAAGGTACCCCTTATTTTCGGAAAGTCCCATTTCCGTCGCTTGCCTGAGGATTCTGCAGTTGCGACGTCGGCCACGGGCGATCGCCACTCGGCAGCAGCTAGCTGCGAGCTGCTTCTCCCCTTTCTTTACAATGAACCTTGTGTCAACGTGCAAGGGTTTGGCGAAGCTCGGCTGGCGGCATTGAAGCAGTGGCACAAGGAGCGGGCAAGCGGAATGTTGCAAGTTGCACACAGCGAAGGCCGTGTGGCCCCAACAGGAGCTTGAGATTTCGAATCTCGAGGTGCCTCTACCGAGTTGATCTGAGTTGTGTGCCGGGCGAGCATGTGCGAGGTTCTGCAGCCGCTCGATGCCGAACTTTGGACACTGGGCGCACTAGACAAAGTTCGTCCAAGACTAAGTTACTCCCCACGATTGCACTTGTCGCGGCCAGTGACAAGCGCATGGCAAAACGACAGAGGCGCATTCAACGGACAGCTTCTGCTGCTGCATGGTTTGGCCGACGAAATGGCACGGGGCTTAAATTGGCGTGAAGTCCCATTTGCGCTGTCCTTGAATGCTTTGAGGTGCCATACGAAGGTAGCGAGAGTCTTCATGCAGCTGCCGCATCACGCCAGAAAGAGGTTGTGCTGGTGAAGGCGAGCTTAACTGTGAGTTGAATACCTCAGGAAATTTCATGCTGGCCTGCGAATTGACGTAGAAATTGGGGTGCGACGCCTTAGCACCGGGAGGCGCTCAGAAGGATAGGATCAAAGAAAAATACTAGCAAGCAGGTTGCGAGCAATTACGAAAGCTCCCTCCGTGGAGGGAAGAGCTTTCGTTTGAGACCCAGCTTTGCTGATCAGCTGTTGGGGGTGGGGGGGGGGGGAACCACCAGAAATTGTCCCAAAACGCCCTCCGTTTTCGAGCCAACCCCCACGCCATGAGTCCAATGAGGTGTTTCAGGCATGGGCCCGCGTGGGCTCGTTTTCGGGGTTGCGCGCAGGACTTAGGAGAGACGTCTTTTGGGAGAAACGGGACCCCGATGATGCTTATGATGCCTGGAGCCGGGGGGGGGTGACGTGAAAAAGGAGTAACGCCCATCTCCGTACTCTTCCGCCCCCGTGCAGCTTTTGCCCCCCGGTTTGTGAGCTTTCGTCCCCCGGCCCCTCCTAGCTGTGCACACTGCGCATCTTTAGCCGCCAGAATTTCGTGCTCTTCCTCCTGTTGCCTTTCCTGCCGTTCAGTACAGTATGACTCACGGCAGGATGCTGGTCACAATAACATCGGCCAGTACCAAGAGTACTGGCACGCCATGCGGCGATTTGCACTGAAGGCACGTCCTTCCCGACAGAGCAGGACAGTTTCCGTTCCTTTCAATCAATAAAGAGATGTGCCTATATACTCTGTGCACATTTATTTCGTTTATATTATACATACGCAGGTATATCATACAGACTGCATCATGCACTAAATATGTCAAAACACATCTATCTATATATTCATATACATATACACGTATATGTATACATGTACCATACATAAGATGATGCAAAAATACGCGAGTCGTTATGCGAATGCAGGTCCAACTGGACAGCACCCTGCCGTCCGTCGGTGGAGTCTTCCCATGCGAGACTTGCGAGAGAGCAGGGCTCAAGTGGCAAATGTCTTGGGTTCGACCTTTGGTTTCAACCATCGAGTGGGTGTGTGTGCAGCATGGCTGGCAGACAGTGACAAATAGTTACCATATGAATGCCATTGGCGCACGCCCTCAAACCAGCTCCTCTTCATGAAGATGTCTTCAATGCTTCGTGATCGCATGCCAGGCAGTGGAGCACCTCTGTGCAGTCTGCGCGAAGCCTGCTACCTTCAAGTGTGGCCCGGGTCTTGCTCGCAGTCCGGGGCCTTGTTCGTCTCTTGCTCGAGCTCTCTCTTCAAGGCCGTTGTCAGAAGGTCTGGTACTGCTCTCGGGCCCACCAGGCCAGCGACAGCAGAGCATCTGCGAAGCGGCGGAGCCATAAGAGCAAGAGCCGCGCAGGCTGAGAACTGGAAGGTTCACAAGAAGACCTGCAACCCAGGCTGGGACCCTGGCATTGAATTTTTTTTTGGCCTTCATGTCTGACCCAAGGCGAGGATGCGGTTTGCGTAAAGGCCACCGTACAAGCTGTGCAGCGATGTCCACTCCAGCCTTGTGGAACTCGCTGAGACAGGTGGTGAAGGAAGGCAATGCCTCTCTGATTGCCATCGCCTGCCACTCAGCCACTCCAAGTGAGCTTCGGGCAGGTTCTTAGCTGCCGGATGTGATGATGAAACCGGCCATGCGCAACATAGCCTCTCACCGCATGTGCTGTGGGTTCGTCGCTGACCATGGAGCTGACCAACTTTTCTGTTCCGTGCCACTTCGGCTCAAGAATGCTGCATGCATTTGGGTCAGCAGCTTCTGCTATAAGTGCCTGACTCGGTATAATCTCGACTCGGTTGCTTCGCGCTGTGTCCCGCAATCTCCTCAGACCTACACCCCTATAAGGCTGATCATGAGACGGTTCTACCTGATTGCCAGGGTCTCGGCTCCCACTCCCCATTGAGCCCTCGTTTAGAGAGCCCTGAGCCATTCTCCCAGGCCCTCCTGGCACTGGTGGATGTGCACGCCCAGGAGACTCAAGAGCCCTTCGCCTGCAAGTCCCTTTTGTCGGGGCAACAGCCCAGGGTTTGTCAAATTTCACCTCTGGACTTAGGTGTGAGGGAGGCTCGGAGAAGGTTTGCGAATGCTTGCTTGGCCTTCGCCTTATCCTGTGACGGCGACGAAGATGCATCACCGACAAGCTGCGAAACAAATCCTACGGTTTCAGTTGGCTCAGGATGCGACGTTTTCGGCGGCCTGCCCCACCTGTAAAGCATTGCAGTGACTGTTTCTGCCGCCGTCGCTTGCCAGGGGACGCGTCAGAATGTGACTCGCTCGATCATCTTAGCGCAGTCGACAGAGCAGTACGGGTGGCTGCCTTAGTATGTGAGACATCGGCCGTGTCTGTTTTGGAGCCTTGTGCCTCGAGTCCAACGCTCCATGCAAGGGCTTCTCACTCCCAGAGGAAGCGATGACTGCACCCGATGACACGAACTGCGATGGCATGATGTGCGTTGTGCACTGCGCCAACAAGCTGAAGTGTTCGGGCCACGACTCGGCCGGCTTCGGAAAGCAGAAGTTCATGCCACCCCTTTTCAGGTCTGGATGCTGCGGTCGAATCTCGATGCTTGACAGTGAAGCGGGCCAGCCCGAAGTGTCGGGCCCAGCGGTTCATTTTTTTCCCGGATTCCCGCCTTTCGTCGCCTTTCGGCCTTGCAAGATGCGCCAGAGCCAAGGTGCAAAGTCAAGTGCAACCATGCATGGCGAAGAAGTGCTCCTTCATTGCTTGTCTCGCTGGTGCCCGGGCTCAGGCTCATGTATCCGTGCGAGACGGCCGAATAATTGGTGTCAGAAGCGTTTTCCACGTTGGCTTGTTTGGCCCGCTCAGGCCATACTGCTCGGCTTGCTTGTGATGAACTGATGAACCAATGAGAGCGAGTCGATGCATGCATTAACCATTGAAGGAAACTCAAACTAAACCACACTGGTTTTGCTTTGCGATTTTGCCAGCTCGACTGCAGTGGATATCTTGTCTTTTTTCTTTTCTTTTTCTCAGGTGTCGTCAAAGTCTCACCGCCTGTCGGGCTGCGGGGAAGGTCGTGTTGTAGGCCTGTGAAGCATGGTGGAGCGGGAATCCAGGGAATGATGTTTTGGGAGTCCTGCCCCGCAAACCGATAATCTGCCTTCTGCCAAAAAGGCAGGCGCAGCTTCCAGCCGTCATGGGGAAAGTGTCCAAGGAGTCCAGGGCGCAAAGATGCTCAAAGATTCAACAAAAGTGTGCTCAAATCCAGAATCGGCCCTGAAGCATGTAAGCAACGGCCCAGCCTGTCGCCATCACACCAGGTCTGTGCAGAATTTTGTGGCTGCGATGTTGACTTGGACGCCTTCGCAGCCACGCTGAATGCAGCCTCTGAGCAGGCCCGGAGCAGAGGCAGTATTTTATATTATATATTATATATTATATATTATATTTTATTTTTATATATTATATATAGTCTCACGCATGGCCCACCCCCTTTGCTTTGCAGGAGGAGCTCAAGGGCATCTACATTAGCTGGTACGCGGACTCGGAGGAACTCTCCGCAGAGGCACGGACTTGCACTGGAGGGCCGGCAGGGCTCGGAGAACCCGCTGCTGCCCTGTGAGAGCTGTTTCGGGCGTTTCGATTAGAAATTTAAATGGCGGCCCGATGATGCTCTTGATGCCCCTTGGTCGCGCGTTTTTTTTTTCTGGATGGTGGAGCTGCAATGCCACTGCTGTCCTGGATTCTCACGGCTCTCACGGTTGCCGTCTACCAGTTGCTTGTTTCCCCGTGACAACAACGTCGACTCGAAGAAGCCCTCATACGATGCCACTCGCAAGAGCTGAAACTGACAGAAGCCGTGGCAGACTTTTGTGCCTCCACCGTTTGCAGCGTTGTCTACGGGTTCGTTCAGCTCTGCGCGAAAGCTATGGAAACAGCTGCTGGCAGGTCTCCTCCAAGTTGGGCCAGGTTCGTGATCGGCCCTCCAAGGCCCAATTGAAGAAACTCACGTGAGCGTCGCGGCAGGGGAGGTGAGGCTTGCTCTTGGACAGGTGCCGCTCTCCTCGTCTGAATCCAAACACCAGATCAGCTTCTTCGAGCACGCCAAGGACAGGGACGAAAGAAATCATAGATGATACATGATTATGCAGTACCTACGACATACTAAGAGTTTTTTTTGGTAAATAGTCTCATCTTATTTCTTGAATCTATCTATATATATATACAC